TAGTATGAGCATATTTGTGTGGCTGGATTTCTGGCTTAGCTGCGTAACATGTTGGATTTAAGGTAGTCTGAGTAAATCTAAGTGAATGAGGGTACAATCCATTTAAATTGGAATACTTAAATCCAATAAGTTATCTATGTAACCAACAAACAAATCTCACTTTGTGATAAAGACCCTTGGTAGTGTTGTTGCTGTGATGGATTGGCGCCCCATCCTGGGTTGTTCCTGGCCTTGTGCCAGTAGTCTCCAGAATAGGCTGGATGGATGGTAGTGTTGTTGTTCTTGTTGTTGTTATTGTTATCATCAATAGTATCCTTTAGTATTAATCATAATAATGTGAATATAGAACAGAATATATGAGCATATGAATGTAGTATTGTTTCTCGTGAATTTTCCCTTGCCATTTAAATGCTTCTGTGATCACTTAAGCCACACCCCTGCAATCCAAGATCGCTTCTCTCTCTCTCTCTCGCCAACAGGGAGGCGGTGAGTAACTTCCTAACAGCCCTGAATCAACAGAGGAAGAACAGGAGCCACCATGTTATGTCTAGCAACATCTGGGCAGCCCTCAGAATAGCCCTGTCCATGATGGACCAGCCAGAGCTGTTCCAAGCAGCCAGTGTAGGAGACCTGGACTTACTTATGAAGGCCTTTAACATGGACATATGACCTCAGACCCTTTAAATCCAAAAACGGCAGAGAATCCAAAGTCTTATCTCAGTCTTGTTTTCACCACACTCTTGCCCTATTTTCCACCCATTTTAATGCACGCTATGAAAAAAGCCATTTAATAGTGCACTTTTGGAACTCCTATCAGTGCTTGAAGATCGACAGTTGCAATGGATTTGCGCTCAGTTTCCCAGAAGGAGATTGCGCTAGTATGCCTTAGAAGAACTTGTCCAGCCGAGCTTGAAATGCATAGTGGAGTCTGTTCACCAGAGGATAGCGATGGTTCTGTCAAGCTGCAATGCAAAAGGCTTCACACAGTTATGGAATGGATCAGCAGTCAGAACATAGTGTATGTAAGACAAATTGGAACCACAGCCCTTTGCGTTTATGGCCATTCCCATTATACATGAAATTACCCTCCAGAGACCAAAATGTTCTTAACGCGATTCCAAGACTCAGGACTTGTGAGGTTCTCGGGGCACGAACCCAGTTGGATATAAAGCATATTTGTCTGAGCGCTCATTAAGAGGCTGCAGTTTACTGGAGGAATTTTCATGCTGAAACGCTTATACTTGTCTTGAGACAAACCTCATTTCTACCTCATTTTTCTGATTGGTTCTAAAAAATCCATCGATGAAGCAATCTTGCCCCTACAAGGCCCACTGAGTCAGATGATTGTTCAGTTAAAGTCTGAATGAAGCATAGTACCGCTTTACTAACTAATACAGGTGATATAACTTTATCTCCAAATGATTATTCAAACTATTAAACTATTAATGGATGGTAGATGTTAGGTAAATATTTAAATTAAACAGTCTTCATTGCGTTGTAGACCCAGAGTCTTATATATGCTATTTTTTTAAAAAGAGTTTTAAAACTCTTTTTTCCAAAATAGTATCTGATGAAGTCAACCCTCAGTATCCAAAACTGATCAAACGCATAAGTAATTTTACTCTAACATTTTAAGTTTAAAGGTCTGAACAATGATTAAAGTAGTGTGACACATTCACCCGAGTTATTGGACTGAGTTGAATATTTAAAGCAATACTGGGTGTATAGGCCAATACATAGTGGTCGCCAAATTAATCACAACTGTCCTCTGTTAGTACAGAATCTTCTGGCACTATAGCCTTGCCATCCTCGGGTGAGGAGATACTTAAATGTCAATAAGAATTCACTGCGATCCCCACATTTAGAACAACTCGGAGGAAAATGACACCTTCAAACACTGCGCACGGCTGAAATAATACAATAAAATTGCAGATCGCATTTATCAATTTAACGCAAAACATCCAGAGAGCATCCGGAGAACAAATTACATTTCTTATCCATGTGGGACGCGTATCAATTTGTTAGCATCGCTGGAGTAAATTTATTTCCTTGTCAGTGGAGAAGAAAAACCCAGCCCTTGCCATTAAGATACGTCTTGTACTCAAATGTACAATCCGTGTCGAGATGTTAACTTTTCTGTAGAGTTACCAAGGTACTCCTTTAGAAATCAGACGTAGCGTTACGGTAACAGCTCTGGTCCACTACGTCAGTGGCCTGTGTTTTAAAGAAGAATAATACATCTCCCTTAGTTTTCAAATGTATTTTCAGAACTAAATATATATATATATATATAAAATATATATATTCTATTATATACCAGAATGCATAGCCGTGAGTTTATTTAGGATGTAAAATAACACTTTTTTAGAAAATAAAAAACTTTTCTCAGGTGAATCAGTTTATGGCATGCTCCAGAAATAATTAAAATTGAAATATAAATACACAAAGGTTGCATGCAAGAGCTAGTCAATTCCTTTATTTTTGAATGCCGATTTACTTTTTTATGCATGAGACTCACAAGCCAATTTGTTATTGTTTCTTATTTATACGTACTGTACTGTACATAAAATGCATACTCAAGTTAATGGAATATATTTCTCTTTACAATGCACTTTTTAATCTTTATTTATATACACATATATAAAGTACATAAACAAAAGACACTTTTATGACTGGAATAGTGTAGATAATATATATTAATACTATATATTAGAGTAATAGTGCATACTGTCCATCGTTTAGTCTCCTTTTACCTTACCTGGGCAGTACCCTGTAAATACAATGTAACTAAATGTAATTGCTGTAGATATTCAAATATGTTGCCTACGTGTAATTATTGCGTAAACAGCACGTTAGGGTTGGTTTTGTGTTTTCAGCCAGAAAGTTACTGAGCTAATGCGCATTTAATTAACCTGACAGGAGGCCACGCTATGAGTAATGATGAGAAATGTTCTGCTCCATGATGGTGAGTTTGTGACCACGCAACATTGCGCGGTAATAGAGTGCAATTTAGCAGAAGTCCGCGTAAATCGGCGACGAGACGGTAAGCCCTACATGTTAGCGCGTTTTAGAATAAAGCCTTGTTATACACTGCCATGGTGTGTGGGTGTTATGTGCTTTTTGCTGCCCTCTCCCAGTCGCCATCTATATTATTTAGTCCACATTTTCAAAGCCTTTGTCCCGGTTATAAATTGTCAGTTTCCGTATTAGGCTTAAAACCCATATTTACCAGCCGGGGATCATAATAATTAATTACACATTTTAGTAACACCAAACTTACCAGTCAAATTCACAGCGCGATAGGGTAAATGCTGTGAGTAACAATAATGCAAATAAATAGCAAGTAAAAAACTTAACTGGGCTGAAACACCGACAATGAAAGATGCGTCAGAATCACGGCATGGACCACAGACACTGGGTAATGGGAGAGAGCTTCGTCTGTAATGGTGCCGTTGGTCACCTTGCAGCACATGGGCACAGAAACGATGCGGGATCCTATTAATTAACACACCAGTAAATAATAACTGTAACCTTCAGCCATGTTGGGGTGTGCAGGTATGCTCTATAATACTCTACATGGTGCGATTAGATTTTAGAACATATATAAGGTAACAAAATAAGATATTCTTAAATGTATCATCACTCAGTAATAAAAAAGGGTCAATTGTATGTGGAGATTTATTTAATGTCATAGTTCAACGGAGATGTGCTGAGAGGCATGACAGGCAAATTCCGTCTGACCGCTCCTGGCGACACAGGTCAGCACCGAACCGGGGACAGACATACCGTAGCCATGACAACTGCTGCTGAGCTGTGCGACAGTATTCTCAGCCAAAACGGTGACAACTATGAGAATATAAAAAAAAAATGTGAATAGAGATGGGGGTAAAAAAACTAAAGAATTAAAATAATTTATATTAGCAATAATCAGTGGAAATATGCAAATTACGATGTCTTTAGTGCCAAGTAAAATGTATTTATGATGATAACGACGTTATTCAGTTTTTAACAAAACTGAGTCCTAAACGACGCCGAATGACAATGTACTGAGTTCACAGTCTAATATTTATTGGCAGTAATGGATATCAAAATACCTGTCTGAAATGGCTCTGTTATGTATACTGAGGGTGGAGGAGTAATGACTCTGCAGATAGACAGCAGAGAATACTGCCGATCGGCTCAGCTTGGAGAAGTCAAAACTGCACACACACATCAGCTCACTGTCCATCAGACACATCGTATTGTTATACAAACTTTGCTCCTCATGACTGTTTACATCATTGTTCAGTAACAATGTCTTGACTTTAATTTGATTGAAACACAAAGGCTCAAATAGAAAGATACTTTCATGTGTATCTTTGTCCCCTGTGAAAAAAATGATGACAGATTCCCCAATGAAGATGACTAACCAGAAATTGTATTTATTTGAAACATAGGCATCCACTGCTGATTTGTATTTAGGCCAAGGAAATACAGCAAAATTGTGATTACTGGGGGAAGAAAACAAACCTTAATACTATGTCTCCCACAAGACATGAATCTGGATGGATTTATACTTTTGGTTTAAAAAAATCTTAAAGTTTCATTTGTATTGTATATAGGCCACAGAAAAACAATTTGGCAGTTGAGAAAAATGCACTACGCATTTTAAGAAGATGATTTGGTATAAAACAATTGACATTTTTAGCTTAAATTTTTTATGCTTTGTGATGTTACAGTTTTTTCCTAAAATAAGTCAAGGACTTGTGTGCAATCGTCTCTTCAGACACATTATCTCTGTCATAAAGTGCTTTCATGTAAAAACAAAGGCAAGACATCACCAGGACAATCACTCTGGGCGTCTCCCACACGAGTCTGTGACTCTTTGGGCGACGGGATCATGCGCGGATGCGGCTCTCGAAAGACCCCCGTCTTCAGAGTGAAATTACGCACGAGATACATCCGCTTGCTCATTCCCAAACCCTTGGCATCTGCAACCCCCCCA